TCCGGGAAGGATACCAGGAGCTCTATGGGCAAATTCTTGGTGACTGCGGGATAATACTTGTGCTCGCCACCTCACTGGCTTGTACTGGAGTTATGGGACTCGCCAAGTCATACTGCTGGTATTATTATTATTATACAGGATTTATATAGCGCCAACAGTTTGCTCAGCGCTTTACAGTATAACGGGAGACAATACAGCAACAATACAGTTCAATACAAGAGGGTTAGGAGGGCCCTGATCTTGGGAGCTTACAATCTAAGAGATATGTGAAAGACCAAGATGTGCTAGACCGCTGGTGCTTGCCAGTTCACCAAAAGGTAGCTTGGCACTAGTACTGGCACTCTGCTGCATATGAGAGTCATCAAAATTTACCGCAAGTGCTAACAGAGATCAGGCCTGATTTTGCCAGCACTGCGGTTTTATGTGCAATGTATCAAGTGACAGAGACCTACTGACACTGCACTTGCTGGGGGAGAAGGGGGGGGGTAAGCGTAGGGGCTAAACGCAGGTGCTGGCAGGTGCCAGGGCTGATCCCGCTGATGCTGCGTTTTTGGGGACGCTATACTAATGTGGTATAGTGCTGATCTGATCAAAGATATTGATCCGTAGAGACACTAGCAATGGAGGTTTACTGTGCATGAGCGTCTTCCTGGCAGTCAAGGGGTTAAATGTGATGACTGGTGTACTGACGGGCAATCTGACGCTATCTTGGAGGGGCGTGAAAAACACGGGAGTGCAAATCATGTGCGTATATATATATATATATATATATATATATATATATGTGATTTTGCGCGCCCATGCCGCCCCTGTAGCAGTATTTCTGCTATAGGGCGGTCAGGAAGCGGTTGCAGAAGCGGTTTGTGTTACGTCGCTGCATTACTTTAACTAACAAATGCGCGGTCATGCAACACTGCACCCAAATCAAATTTACGTCCTTTTTTTCCCACAAATTGAGCTTTCTTTGGGTGGTATTTGATCGCCTGTGCATTTTTTATTTTTTGCGCTATAAAAAAAAAAAAAGGCTGACAATTTTGAGCAATATTTTGGACTTTTTGCTATAAAACATGTCCAGTAAAAAAATTTAAAAGTCAAATTTCGTCATAAATTTCGGCCAAAATGTTTTTTGCGACATGTCTTTGCTGAAAAAAATCTCAATACATGTAAAGTAATTGGTTTACGTGAAAGTTATAGCGTCTACAAATGGCGAGAATTTTTTTTTTATACTAATAATGGCAGCGATCAGCGACTTATGGCGTGATCAGCGATTTATTACAGTGATCAGCGAATTATGGTGGGACTGCGGGACCGCAGCGGACATTTTGTTTAACATTTTTAGGCAATCAAAGGGTTAACTGTGTAAGAGGAGTGTTTTACTAGTGGGCGGGGGGTGTGTACTTCACAGGAACACACTGATCCTGAGAGCTAAACTCTGCTCTCAGGAACAGTGTGTTGGGAACTGACAGGGAGCAGAGCTGCATTGTAAACAATGTAGCTGTGCTCTGTGTCAGTATTTGCTGGCAATCGCCGGGATCCAGTGGATAATGACCGGCCGGGACCCGGTGATTGACACCCGCAGCCACGATCGGCTACGCAAGTAGGGCAGGCGTGTGCCCGCTACCCGATATGCAAAATCACGTTTATAAATCAGCGACTTATGAATGAATGAATCGCGTTTATAAACGTGATTTTGCGCAAAGGTGTCGCCCTGCCGCAGTATATATACTGTGGCTGGTCGGCAAGCTGTTAATTGAACAAAAAACAAAACAGTTTTTGACAAGTCCTTTAATAAAAATAAAGAGAGCCAAAATATGGTTCCATCGTTAATCACGGCATCTAGCATTGTCATGACAACGCCAACTCGCCAAAATAAAAAAAAACCTGCAGCCAGCGAACCCATCCACGCCCTCTTTGGCAGCTGCTGTGGAAGGCAAACTAGTATGAGCCTGATTGATGGATGATGAGGATGGCTTAGTTATCTACCCCACCACCTCTTCTGCATCTTGTAGCTCAATAACATTCCCAACATCGGAAAAAAAGGACAAGCGTGCCCTGCCTGCAGAGGATGTAACATGTCCATGGCCACCACTTTTCACTGTGGACACAGAGGCTGCTTGCCCTCTTTTAGCTGCCTGTGAGCATCTGCCTCTCCTTGTTGGCCTTTCGGAAATGATGGGGATTTTTGGGGCGAATTTTTATAGCTTTTTATTTTAGAGTATGGGATGGGAATTTCATGCTTGGGTGCAATACTTTTGTGCTTGGTGCACTATAAAGCTTTTTATTGTTGTTTTTTTCAACAAAGAAAATAGGGGGTACGCCAATTATGGATTTTTTTTATTGCTGCTGCTGCAAGAAAAGATAATATAAAAATGAATGTAAAAAAACTAAGAAAACAAACAAAAAAAAAAAAAAAAGTACTGCAAGCAGAAGGAAGAACACCTGCGAGTCAGAAAGAGGAACAGCAATTACGGAGACATTTTTTTTTTTGCTGCTGTTGAAAAAAATAAATAAATAAAATTCAGCCAAAAAAGGAAAAAGGGAACCACTGCTCACAAAAAAAGGAACACCTACCACACAGTAGGGGGAACATCAATTATGCCCTAAATATTTTTACTGCTGCGACAAAAAAAAAATAACTAAGAAAGCCCAAAAAAAAAGGGAACAGCGGTGACGCAGAAGTGCTGTAAAACACACTGACACTTTACTGATACCACTACACTACACTCCTAACACTTCACTAAACTCCAGCAACACACTACACAAGGCTGCTGTGTAAGCACCCTTACATAGTGTGGGGCGTGGACTTAGCCGTGAGCCATGATTGGCCAAAGTCACTGTGACTTTAGCCAATCCTGGCTCTCACAGTGCATTGTGCTGTGATTGGCCAAAGTATTGCACCTGACCTGTGATCAGGTGCATTGTTTTGGCCAATCATGGCTCTCACAATGCACTGTGAGAGCACAGTATATTGTGGGGCATTCGGCGGGTGAAAATTTCCCCCTATCTTCAATCTTCACAGTCTCTCCATCCATCCTCAATCTTCACATTCCCCCCATTCTTAGGCTCAAGAGCCCCACATCCTAAGGTTTCACAGCCCCGCCAACCTCAGGTTTCACAGTCCCCCCATCTTCAGTCTGCACAGTCCCCCTAATCCTCAGTCTGCACAGTCCCCCTATCCTCAGTCTTCGCAGTCCCCAATCATCCTCAGGCTTCATAGCCCCCTCTTCAATCTGCACAGCCCCCCCCCATCCTCAGTCTGCATAGTCCCCCCATCCTCAGACTTCACAGTCCCTCCAATCTTTAGTCTGCACAGCCCCCTAATCCTCAGTCTGCACAGATCCCCCATCCTTAGACTTCACAGCCCCATCCTCAGTCTCCACAGTACCCCCAATCCTCAGGCTTCACAGCCCCCCCCCCCAATCCTCAGACTTCACAGTTTCCCACCATTCTCAGACTTCACAGTCCTCCCATCCTCAGGCTTCACAGTCTCCCCCATCCTCAGGCTTCACAGTGAGAGCACAGTGTATTGTGGGGCACTCGGCGGGTGAACATTTTTCCCTATCTTCAATCTTCACAGTCTCTCCATCCATCCTCAGTCTTCACAGTCCCCCCATCTTCAGTCTGCACAGTCCCCCTATCCTCAGTCTTTGCAGTCCCCAAGCATCCTCAGGATTCATAGCCCCCCTCCTCAATCTGCACAGCCCCCCCCCCATCCTCAGTCTGCATAGTCCCCCCATCCTCAGACTTCACAGTCCCTCCAATCCTTAGTCTGCACAGCCCCCTCATCCTCAGTTTGCACAGATCCCCATCCTTAGACTTCATAGCCCCCATCCTCAGTCTCCACAGTACCCCCAATCCTCAGGCTTTACAGCCCCCCCAATCCTCGGGCCTCACAGTCCCCCCCCAATCCTCCGACTTCGCAGTTCCCCACCATTCTCAGGCTTCACAGTCCCCCCAATACTCAGGCTTCACAGTCCCCTCATCATCAGTCTTCACAGTCTCCCACCATTCTCAGTCTCCACAGTCCCCCCATCCTCAGGCTTCACAGTGAGAGCACAGTGTACTGTGGGGCACTCGGCGGGTGAACATTTTTCCCTATCTTCAATCTTTACAGTTTCTCCATCCATCCTCAGTCTTCACATTCCCCAAATCTTTAGGCTCAACAGCCCCACATCCTAAGGCAGTGATGGCGAACCTTTTTGAGCCCGAGTGCCCAAACTGCAACACAAAACCAACTTTTTTATTTCAAAGTGCCAACACTGGAATTAATCACTTGCCTACCGGGCACTTCTACCCCCTTCCTGCCCAGGGCAATTTTCAGCTTTCAGTGCTGTTGCACTTAACAATGACAATTGTGCGGTCATGCAACACTGTAACCATATGCAATTTTTATCATTTTTTCACACAAATAGAGCTTTTTTTGGTGGTATTTAATCACCACTGGGTGTTTTATTTTTTGCACTATAAATGAAAAAAGAGCAAAAAATGTAAAAACATAAAAAGTTTCCTTTGCTTCTATTCTAAAATTTTGCAAACAGGTAATATTTCTTCTTTGATGTGCGTTGGTGAGGCTGCACTGATAGGCAGCACTGATGGGCATTGATGAGGCGGCACAGATAGATAGCACTGATGAGGCGGCACTGGTGAGCATTGATGAGGGGGCACTGATGATGCACTGATATGCAGGAAATGATGGGCACTGATAAGCGGCACTGACTGATAGCACCAACTGGAGGCACTGACAGACGGCACTGACCGGCGGCACTGCTGGGCATCATTGATGGGTGGCACTGATGGGCAGCACTAATGAGGTGCCACAGATAGGTGGCACTGATATGCGGCACTGATTGGTGGCACTGATAGGCAACACTGATAATGGGTACTGATAGACAGCACTGTTAGGTGGCACTGACTGACATTACTGCTGGGCACTGACTGGCGACACTGCTGGGCACTGACTGGCACAACCGCTGGGCACTGACTGGTGGCACTGACTGGCAGCACTGCTGGGCTGCACTGATGGGCACTGGTGGGTGGCACAGGTGGGCACAGGTGGGTTGGCACAGGCAGGTGGCACTACTGGGCACAGGTAGGTGGCACTTCTGGGCACAGGTGGGTGCATTGTTGGGCACAGGTGGGTGCATTGCTGGGCACAGGTGGGCACACTGCTGGACACAGGTGGGTGCATTGCTGGGCACAGGTGGGCGGAACTTGTGTGTGGCACTGCTGGGCACCGATCATCAAGGCACTGATGATCAGTGACCCTGATGATCGGTGCCGGTCCCTGCTCTGACAACTGCCGGTTTTCGGCAGTACTTTCCTCACGATCTGACAGCGTGAGGAAAGTGCAGCCGAGAACCGGCATTTGCATTTCCCGGTGATCAGCGTGTCATTGGACACGGCTGATCACGTGGTAAAAGGCCGCTGTGATTGGCCTTTTACCACATCACGTGATCAGCTGTGTCCGTAAAAAAAAAAAGAATGAATTTTTGGGGAAGTCTCAATATGTCTTACAGTATATATAATTGCAAATACCATTGCTTTTCTATGCGTTAACAGCAGCAACACTTTTGAGGAGTCAGTTAACCACAGCCATTATGCCTTATGTTATGGCCATTAGGGGTAGGAAGAGTCAGAAGCCTGCTCTGTGTGTGCCTGTGTCTGCTGTATAGCAGCTGTCATACTTGTTGTGAAAGTTCTGGTGATCACATATCTGGGCAGCACAGTGGCTAAATGGTTAGTACTTCCACCTGGCAGTATTAAGGTTGTTGGTTCGAATCCCAGCCATGGCACCTCCTGCCTGGAGTTTGCATGTTGTGCCTGTGTGGGTTTCTTCTGGGTACTGGGTTTCACACCACTTCAAAGACATGCTGGTAGGTTAGCTGGATCCTGTCTAAATTAGCCCTAGTATGTGTGTATGAATGTAAGTTAGGGACTTTAGATTGTACACCCCCTTGAGGGTTAGGGACAGGATATGAATGTACATTATATGAAAAGCACTGTGTAAATTGACAGTGCTATATACATACCTGAAATAAATAAAAATCAAAAATCAGTTGTAGCCCTGGGCAGCCTTTCTTAAGCTGTGCAAACATACAGGCTACTAGCCAGGGCTCATGGAAGTGTGCACACAGCCCCCTCATAAGCATGCATGGTGTGATGTGACACACATGTGCGGTAATGGCTGGTAGACGTGGGCAGCCTTATTACTCAAGGGAACAGTGCTCCATGGGTGCAGTTCTCTTATTTGATGGTGGCAAGAGACACAGTGTAGGCTATCCATCTGGGCACATGAGTCACTGGTGTTATGTGGTTACATGCAGCCAACTTGTGCTGAATTAAGTGTTGCATCTGCTGTTGGGTTGTGATAGCTGCTGTATGCTGGATCACAGCGTGCATAGTGGGGTACTGGTAGCCTAAGTTTTGATTTATCCTCAGGCCCCAGTTATTCTTCAGTGTGCTTAAGTAAGCAATGTCTTCCAGGAAACAGAGTGGGGGAGGCACAGCAGGAAGTGACGCATGTGTACCACCGTCAGGTTCTGAGGATCCTAGTTGAAATTCCGCTGTGTCAATTTCTCCGGAAAGACCAGAGGCAACTGGGCAATCTTAGCCATTGCGCTTGTCTGGCATTGTGGCTACTTCCAGTGCATCTGCTTCATCTTATGTCACAAAGGCAATTGTAGCATCAGCATTGGCTTGCTTAGAGGATAAGATTGCTGGAATGTTTGCCTCAGTTACACAGAAGGAATGGCTTGAAGATGTAGAGGAGGTAACTATTGAGGAGTTAGGAGGACAGGCAGAAGACTCCATGTCAGGGGAGTCAGTGCCTGAGGAGGGCCTGGCCTATCCAGTTTAGCAATATAAAAGATTGCTGGTGAAATACCTTACAGAAATGGTCCACACAGGATTTAAATTGCCTCCACTGGAGGTTTCAGAAACCTTCTACTCTTCTTTGGGTGCTCTGCAGCCTCCACAGGATGCTCAAACCTTTCCATTCTAACTTAGAACAGGTTGTTTATGCTGACTGGAATCATCCAGATAGGGTTTTTTTTGTCCCTCCCAAGAGGTTTTCTATTTTGTTAAAAAATTGAGCATGCCAGCTGTTGACGTGGCTGTTTCTCCTCTATGAACAGGAATCTGACCTGTCCGGTAGACAATGCCCAGGTGTTTAAACACCCAGCAGATAAGAAGCCAAAAGCTTCCTTTGCTTTGGCTGGATCTGAGGTGCAACCTACTGTAGTGGCAATTGGCATTGGTTAGTCCCTGCAGGACCATGTTAAAAGGTTGGTGAGGAGTTTTGCCTGCTCAGGGAGAGGTTGCTGCTGAGAAGGTGGTGGATTTACCCCACATCTTGTGTTTTGCAGTGGATGCCCTGAAGGACTTAATTCAGCAGGTTTCACGTGTGGCTCTTCTATCAGTGCACATGCAAATCTTATGGTTAAAAAGTTGGTGAGCTCAATTGCCTTGAAAATAGCTGCTGGCTTGATTGTGGTATAAATAAGTTGCTTTGCTAGCTGTGTGCCTTACATTAAAGCTGTGCTAAAGGTTAATTTTTTTTGTAAAATAACAAACATGTTATACTTACCTGCTCTGTGCAGTGGTATTTCACAGAGCAGCCTGGATCCTCCTCTTCACAGGTCCCCCGCTGGTGCTCCTGGCCCCTCCCTCCTGTCAGTCACCCCCACATCAAACAGCTCTTTATGGAGGCACCTGCTGCTCCGTGTGTCCATTCACACAAGGAGCTGTGACTTGGTCCTGTCCCCTCTCTCCTCATTGGCTGACTGGCTGTGATTGACAGCAGCTGGAGCCACAGGCTCCCGATTGTTGTCTCATTCAATAAGGAGGCAAAGACCCGGGAGAGCTGCTGCAGTTGTGCACATCGCTGGATCGTGATGGAGCTCAGGTAAGTATTGAGGGGGCTGGGGGCACTGCTGCACAAAGAAGGTTTTTTGCCTTCATGCATAGAATGCATGAAGGTAAAAAAAACCTTGAGCCTTTACAACCGCTTTAACTTCTGTTTGATTCATAGGCAAACTCCACACCCACCCTCCACAGTATAAATCTAGATCACCTTTATGGGAGAGTCACATGCCAGGGTGGTGCATTTTTGGGTTCTTCCAATAAAGTGGGTTTGTTAATTAAGTGGCACTTCCACTCTTGAACATCCACAGCAAGCAACTTTGCAAAACATCAGACTGCAGGTGACCTAATTTCCCCATTCAGCTCTCCTTTCTCTTTGTAACATGCACTCTCTACTGCTCCTTTTCACAGTTTGTGTCCTCTCTCCTCAAACTCTGTTTCTTTCATCCCTCTTCTCCACCCCACAATCTGTATATATCACCATCACTTCTGTCCTCCTTTTACCACTGCACTCATCATCTCCTCCTAACTCTAATGCCACATTCTAATAAAACCCACAGGATGCTGAGGCACATCCCCTCATATAAATCGCACTCCCATATTACCTCTTTCACCCTTCTGCTTCTCTTAACTTCTGGAGACATATCCTCAAACCTTGGGCCACCTTTATTTAACTGTAACCAACACACACATCACCCTGCACCCTCTGGCAGTAGCTGCAATCCACACAATTTAGTTTCCTCTTCTTCCCCAAACCAGTCTATCCTTCTCCTCTGCCCTCTAGAATTCTCACTCTCTCTGCAACAAACTCACCTCTGTTCATGACCACTTTGTCACTAACTCCTTTCATCTACTTGCCGTTACCAAAACCTGGCTTCATGAATCCAACACTGCTTCTCCTGCTTTCCTCTCCCATGGTGATCTTATCTGGACTCCCTCCCCCAGACCCAGTGGATGCAAGGGAGGTGGAGTGGAAATCATCCTATCCCCACAGAGCACCTTTCAGGTTCTTCGCTCTCCTCCCTCTCTGTCCCTCTCATCGTTTGAAGCTCACTATGTACAACTATTTTCTCCAATTTCTTTAAGAATTGCTGTCATCTACCAACCCCCTGGAACGGTATCAACTTTCCTTGATGACTTCTCTGCCTGGCTACCCTACTTATTTTTATTTTATTTTAGTTATTATAGGTACTTCTATAGTGCTGTCAATTTAAGCAGCGCTTTACACATACAGTATACATTGTACATTCACATCAGTCCCTAACCCTCAAGGGGCGTACAGTCTAAAGTCCCTAACTCTTACATTCATACATACACATACTAGGGCACATACAATTTAGACAGGATCCAATTAACCTACTAGCATGTCTTTGGAGTGTGGGAAGAAACCGGAGCACCCGGAGGAGACCCACGCAAGTTCAGGGAGAACATGCAAACTCCAGGCAGGTGGTGCCTTGGTTGGGATTCAAACCAACAACCCTAGTACTGCCAGGCGGAACTGCAAACCATTTAGCCACTGTGCTGCCCATTTCTCTCTTCTGAAATTCCCACAATCATTCTCGTCAACATCTCTGTTAATACTAACACTCCTGCTACTTCTAAACTTGTTAGTCTAACCTCCTCATTTGACCTGAAGCAATGAGTACATGATTTTACTCACTCTGATGGCAACACCCTTGACCTTGTATTCTCTTGCCTATGCATCCCATCCAACCTCTCCAACAATTATTTTCCTCTCTCTGATCACCACCTTATTAGTTTTGCTCTCTCCCTGTCTTCCACCTCCTCTCCCTCCAGCCGTCTATTACCCATAGAGACCTTTGCCACTTCTCTTCTCCACTCTGCTACTGACCACCTCTATGACAATATCTCACCCCCGTCCTGCCCCAATCTAGCCACTTCTGTCTACAATAGATCCCTGTCCTCCGCCCTGGACGAGCTCGTCCCTCTCACTACACACAGAATCAGGCAACCTATTTTGTGACTCTCATTAACACCTTCTCATCCAGCCCTTCTTTACCTTTAACGGTCTACTTTGTCCACAACTGCCTCCACCCACTAACTCTCTCACTCCCAGGAGATCGCCAATCACTTCAAATATAAGATCAATACAATTCGTGATGAAATTTCATCTCTACAAATAACTCTCCCACTTAAGACCCTATGTCCACAGGTACACTCAACACTACCCTTATTCAACCCTGCTACTACACCCTAGGTTGCTAAACTGATAGCCTCCAATGGCTTTCAATATCATTTCTATGCTGACGACACCCAAATCTATCCATCTACCCCTCAGGTCACAACATCAGTCTCCTCATGCATCACTAACTTACTGACCGACATATCAGTCTTGATGTCACACCACTTCCTCAAATTCAGTCTATACAAAACAGAACTCCTAATATTTCCTGACTTCTCTGGCAAGATCAATGGCACAATCATCAACCCGTCCCTACATGCCAAGGTGCTAGGTGTAATCCAGGACTCTGAACTCTCTTTTTGGCCCCA